AACCCAATAATATCCACAAGACAAGTAATTAAGTAATTGAGATTATATTGGGGCTTTCTAAGACAAAAGAATGGTCCAAACTTCAAAGTTCTTTATTATTTAATGTTCTTAATGTAGGTCATGACACAATCAACAATAATAAACTCTTTTGCCCTTTTTTTTTTTGTTTGGGGAATTTATTTCTTCTTATAAAATTTTCTCTTGCTTTAGGGGTGTCTCCCCCCTTTAAAGATCCCTTTTCCAAACTCGAAGGGAAATTTAATTCCCTCCCAAAATTTTATTTTATTATTTGCTTTTATTGGATCAACTTTTCGATGGAAGTGTAAGCTCCAACAGTTTTACATATTCACCTCTCCCAATTGGCTTTGGAGTGGAACCCAAACCTCTTATTTGCTAGATTTATCACATTCCAACTCATGCAACTCCCATCTCCCCAAAATTTTAAACTTATAATTCTACTTTCCCATGTTTTCGGAGGAAGTTTCAATTTTTTTTTTTAAGGTGTATGTCACCTAATTTTTTTTGACTTTAAACCTCATAATAACCCTACATCTCATGATATAAGAAATGGTTCCGAGGAATGTGGCTCTAATACCAATTATAACCACCCGCTTTCTCTAAAGCGGAAAGGGCCTCAACTCACATATAAACTTGATAAATTTTTACGCAACATCATACTAATCTTTATAAATTAAAAATACATCCCTTGTATAGAGTCACAATTTATTAGATTACAACGATCGGAATCACATCACAAAAATACATTCATATTTACTTTATAATAAATGTCTAAAGTAGCTAAAATATTCTTCAAAGTCTTCTTTTGATATTGAACTCCCTCCTAAACTGAACTAATTTGCACTGGGGGGTTTGAATTGGTGTGAGCTTCACGAATTTAGTAAGAATAAAGTAGTGTTCAAAGTAGAGGTATGCAAACACACATTCATACAGGTTTAATAAAATCAATGTAAATTTTATTGAGTAAAATCAAAAGTAAACAACATTCATATCATTGTTCCATTTCCTTTTACTGAAAAAGATATCTATTCCTTTCTCTTACAAGCAATCATTCATATATATAATATTAAGAAATCATTAGAAACACCGTGAAAAGTACAATCAACATACATCTCAATAAATACAACCTTTGGGTTCCCTACTATTTCACCGAAACCAGGGTTGCTTATCATTTCCATTTCCATCGCATACTATCATTTCTCTTACCGGTATCACTGGGGCCCTATAGGGATTCCCATTACACACGGGTGTATAATATTTCTTTTATAATTCATCGCCTGTCCCAATACCTTATTTGGTAATCGGTGTCACAATTATAGACCGTCTCAATACCCCGTCTGGTATGAGCATGATCAAACCAATTCTCAATCCCGTCCGATATGAGACTTTCTAGTCCTGTATGACCAATGACATATCTGCGGTAGGGTTCACCCTATGTATCAAGTCTGTACACTTTCTCTCATGATACCCGATAACCTTTTTTTTATTCAAAGATTATTATAATTCATATCCCAATTTCATAAACTCAAACATGTTTTATACTTTATTCTTTTTCTAACTAAATATTATATTTATATTTTTGAAGAAAAATTCACATTCAACAATAGTATTAATTTATATTCTCACACACACTGCCAACAACCAATTTCATTACTTACACATATCTATTTATACAACTGAGATGTGCACTCATTACACCCATAACGAGTATACATAACAATAAATTTATGTGTATATCAAACACACACAAAACCATTTGAGTAAACAATCACATGCATACATGTATGTCTAACATATATAGTTTAAATCATATTAAACATATACCCAACATACTACGTAAGCAACAAGCCATCGCAATCCATATCTGCACACATTACTTACTTAAATTTATCTTGGTACCATTATATTTAACCATAAACCTATTCTAAATATATATATATATATCTATATATATTTTCTTACAATATACATATTTTATCTAATTATGATTTAACATACATAAATCACTTATACCTATACAAAATACATACGTCTATATTCCTACTTTAAATCTGCATATAAGCAGTTTCTACACCTACATAACTACCAACATTATTTTACACTTGCACACATACAGATTCAATGCGTATGACTATTTACGCTTATACTAACATACATACATATATATATATATTTATTTACATTTTCGTACAACTTCGTTTCTATTAGTATATATACATGTAAACACATATTACATAATCATATATATATATATAGCTACATATATAGGAACACCTTATAATCCATCTAATTTTTATATATGAAATCTTATACATTAAACAAACAGCAGCCTATGTATAACTACATATTTACCTATTAATTCACGCACAACATATATGTATATATGTTATTATGCATATACCCTATACAACATCGGAGCTCATTACATTATTCACTCAAATATATATGAAACTTTGCAAAACACATTCTCGAACAAAACTTAAATCATCCATCAAACTTTTAAATTAATTATTTTGAAGTTAATAAATTATTTTATGAAAATATGAAATATTCAAATGAAAATTAACTTAATTCTTACCAGAATCTCCAACAAAAGAAAAAATCAGAAAGCTTTCGGACAACTTTAGTTCTATACAGTCAGGCTCATTTTTCAGATTTCTGTTCCCAATTTTTCTAAAAATTTCATACACATGATTAAAGATTTAATTTAAGGTAATAACCAAATATAACGTGGAAGAAAATTTACCAAAATCAGTGTTGAATTCGGGCTTTCTACTCAAAAGAGTGCGATTTCAGTCTCTCTCTCTCTCCGGTTCCTTGATTTTTAGCCTCGCATAGATCTTTGAACGTATTCGGAACACCAAGTCGCGATCTGCCTCACGCGGATCAGGTCCACCCAACACGTGTTTTGTTCTTCTTCTTCAACAACGCGCGCCGGGCGTTGCATATCTGGCCCCGCGCACAGCGTGCTCAGCATCGCGCGCACTTTGCTTTTTCGGCAGCGTGTGATGCTTCCTTCCTCCTTATTCTTATTCGGCAGTGCGCTCCGCGCGCCCTTTTTACTAGCTGCGTGTGCCGCACACCATGCTCTGTTTTTTCTCTTTCTTCTCCTCCTTCACCGCCCATGTCCCCTTTTTCTATTAAGGATTTTTTTTTTTTTTTTTTCAACCTTGGCCCTGGGCTCTCTCTTCTCTCTTGGGTCTGGTTATTACAACACATACAAACACATTCTATCTATTTTATCGAATACCATCTAAGTAAGTTTTGACAATAAATGACTAAAATAGTCGGGTTTTAATCAATTAAATTCAATATAATTATTTATATTTGATATCATATTTGATCAAACTATAAACGAATAAAAGTAAATTTTATAAATGAACTTATCCAAATTAAATATTTAAAATACTCAATATAATTTCACTGATATCTAATTCGATATTTATAAATTTATAAAAAATTAAAAAATAACTCTATATTATATAAAGAATATATGTACATGTATATGGGTCGTGTATTAATTTGGAATTAATCAAAATGGACCTACAAAATTGTTGGGATGGTTAATGCCTCAACTTACTTGCTTGAGTATGAGAATTCACAATTTGGACCACATGCTATTTTTTTAGTGCAAAAAAGAAGTTAAGATTTTTAATTTGTTATATTTAATATAATTAATAAAATTAATTATTATAAATTTTTTATTTTATTTAAAAATATAATAAATTTATTAAGACTTAATTCAAATTAATCAGTATTATTCTATTAATATATCAATAAATTAAATTATTAATAATATTAAATTATAAATTATAAATTAATCGTAATTTATTATATGATAATTAATTACTAAATTTTAAATTGTAATTTTATTTAAATCTAAAAGTCCGAGACACGTGTCGGCTCGCTCACTACACAGCCCATTCGACAACTATATTTGCACAATTAAAAAGCAAATTTTTTTTTTTTTTTTAATAAAGCAAATATTTAATATTGGTACACGGCCCAGACTAACGCCGTCAGTGGCAGGAGGGAAACCAAAATGTTCAAATGAAACTCGAAAGTTCCACATTCCCACTTTATTTCCCACTTCCTCACTCCCCTCTCTTCCCCTTCCTTTCCTCTTTCTCTCGCCCGCCCCGCCCACCCGCCAAAAAGCCGCATATCGATTCGAAACCATACGATTCTGGTTATTCGATTATGGCAGACTGAGGATTTTCTCGGCTTATCCATCGATGCTTCTCTTCGGAAAAAGGTTCATGCGGAGGTAGGAGATCTGCTAAAAGTTCTGGTCATAGCGGTCGTATGATTTGGATTTGACATGTGGAAATGAATCCCTAGTTTTTTTCATTTTCAATTTTCAGTCTATATCGTGTAGCAATGTAGCAAAGTCAGTTAGTTATGGGTTACATTTATTGGGGTTTGTTTTCGTAAATTTTTTATGATGTTTATCTTGTTAGTGATTGAAGATAGGGTTTTTTCTTTTGTTCTGGGTGCATGGGGGTTTCGTTGTATGGGTTGCAGTTTGCAGAACTTGAATATCAAAGTAAATATTCTGTTTGATGTTTTCAAATATATTGTAGATAGATGGATAGAGCATAAATACTCAGATGGGTACCGCAAATCTTATGTTTCTGTCTATTTCTCTTATGCGTTCCAAGTCAAGTAACTTGCAGTCTCTTAAAAGAGGTCCCACTAAAATTCCACCAATTATGTCTATGAATGTCAATGGATTATGTTCATTTTCTCAATGGAAAATTGTTTCTGTTAATCATGAAAACTAGGGCTGCTGCTGCTTCTTGTGTGATTCATTT